GCTTAAACAACAGATATTTATTTTTTCATAGATCTCGAAGCTGACAGTCCAAGATCAGAATGCCAGCAGGATTGGTTTCTGGTGAGACCTGTCTTCCTGGCTCGTAAGTAGCCACTCAGCATGTGCTCACATGACCTCTTATTTGTGCATATGGGGAGGGAAAAAGCATGTGCACTCTGGTGTCTCTTCTTAAAAGGACACTGATCCAGTTGTATCAGGGCCCTAGCCTTATGACCTCCTTGAACTTTCATTATGTCCGTATAGGCCTTACCTCCAGATACAGTCACATCAGGGCTTAGGGCTTCCATATATGAATTTGGAGGGGGTTGGGCACAATTCATTTCATAGCAGGTGGTGAGAAGGCAGCCAAAGCAGAAAGAGTGAGATTGAAGGGGATTTCTAGGAGCCCCATTGCAAAGGAAGTAATAAACTTAATAAGAGGGCATTCAAAACAACTAACCTAAATGAAAGTCTCAGATTGCCCCAGCTTACTTCTCATCCTTCTATAGTATGTTTCAGGAAATAACAAGCCCCATTAAGAAAAGAATAATCAGAAAAGATACAGAAAGGGACTGCTTAAGTCAAGTTCTCTATAAACAGCCTGACACAGAAATTCTTGTAGGAGTGATTTTATTGAGGGAGTGCTCTCAGGAAGCAGGATAGGGCATGGGAGAAGGTAAGTTAAAGATATGGCTTCAGCTGAAGTTTAGTCTCAGCCTGACCTCACAGAGAATTCTAGAGCATGAGTGTTACCAGAGAGGTATATTCCCTGACCTTGAGGCAAGGACCAAGCCTCTGTACTCCCCAAATCCATCATTTGTTGGCTGTGGGTCACCCTCACGGGAACATAAACTCTCAGGCATTTCTGGGTAAGGTAGCTCCTGTCATTTAGGGCAATTTTCAGAGAAGGGGATTCTGTGAGCTATTAGCAGTCAACATAGCAGCTGGCAAATGGATACATTGACTTGGTAAAGGGGGTCTGGACAGAGCACCAACAGCAGTGGTTCTCAAAGTATGGTCTCTGGAGTAGCAGTATCAGCCTCATCTGAGAACTTGTTACAAATGCAAATTCCCTAGCCCAACCCCAGGTCTGTTGAATCAGAAACTCTGGAATAGGACCCATGAATCTTTGTTTTAATAAGCCCTCCGGGTGATTTTGATGCATGCCAAAGTTTGAGAACCACTATACCTAGAGAATTATGACTAGGAATTACAACAAGGATGGGGGGAGAAAATAAAAACAAGGCAGGTACAGAACATTTGTTGTAAGAGAAATTACACAAAGAATACATCGAGAATTGAGACACCCATATTAATTGCTCAAAAGGGCAGAGCTCGAAAGAGAGATACAAGGATTTAAAGAAAAAATTATAAGACATAGAAGATGAAAAGTTAGCTGGCAGAACTAAGAAAATAAATGGAAGAGAAAAGTAAAACTTTCAGAGGTAAAAGTACATAAGAACCAAAAGGATGATGGTGGGAATTGTAGTCAGTGTTCATTTAGGAAAACTGTAATCAATTTAGATATATATTCAAAGCAGTGAGAGAAATAATGCAAAGAATTTGTTACAGAGCGTTGAAAAGGCTGGGAAAACAAACAGGAGATGGGAATGTAACCCAGAGCTAGAGCCCATGATCCACACTCAGTATTGACCCTTGGAGGCACCATTGCTGCCTCTGAACAGAAACTACCCCATCACCATGGCTAGTGATACCAAAGCTGCTACAGTGCACAGTCACCTGTGATCGCTACAGCCAGTACTGGAAAAAATAGCTTTTCCCTTCCATCCACTTTGTAATCTCCCACTGTGCTTCCTATTGGTAGAACCTAACAAGAAAGTGCTGACAGAAGATTCTGGAAAATTCAGTTTTCAGGCTTCCAGCTGCCTGAAATCCAGAGGAGAGTATGGAAGAGTGGGAATAGGTGAGAACCAACAAACTATATTGGGTACAATAATAAACCCAATTTAAGGAGAATCAGGATCAGAGGAGAAACCTTGAGAAAAATCACAAAATGGAATAGAAAAAAAGATTAAAAATAGTTATAGAGAAGATAATAGTTATGGAATTAAAAGGGATTCAACATACCCATAATTATTGTTCCCGAGTAAGAAAATAGGACAAAATACAACAGAAAAGATATTCGAGGCAACAGAAGAAAATGTCCCTGAAATTAAAAACAAAATCTAAATCTTAGGATCAAAAGAGGATATTAGTATTTGCCTTAATCCATTTGGGCTACTGTAGACTGGGTGACTTATAGACAACAGAAATTTATTTCTTACAGTTCTGAAGGCTGGAAGTCCAAGATCAGGGTGTCAGCAAGGTCAAGGGAGGGCCTTCTTCTGGGCTGCAGACGTCTATCCTCACGTGGTGGAAGGGGGCATGCTAGCTCTCTGGGTCCTCTTTTATAAGAGCATTCATTGTGCTCATTAGGACTGTGCCCTCATGACCTAATCTCTTGCCAAAGGCCCCACTTCCTAATACTATCATGGTGAGCTTTAGGATTTAGCATATGAATTTGGGGTGGTGGGGGGGAACACAAGCATTCAGACCATAGCATTAGTCCAGGAATTTTTTATATAAAACACTGGAATGTGTCTCGGTGAAGTTACTGAACTTCAAGTATAAAGAAAGAATCTGATAGATTTCGAGGCAGAATAAATGCAAGTGCCAGGAGAAATAAATTAAGCCGGCCTCAGACTTCTCTCTTTACTGCTAGATAACAGTGGAGCAGTGTCCACAAATCTCTGAGGTAAAGAGATTGAAAGATAATAATCTGAAACCCAGGCAAGTGTCCTGCAGGGGTAAAGACTACAGATTGGCATTAGTAAGCATGTGAGACTTCATGGAACACAGGATCCATGTGCCCTTCTTGAAAAACTACTTGAGACTTATAATGATGTAATCTATATGACTTGTTAGGTATCCTGGAATCCTTCCTCAAGCAAACACCCAACAACGCTGGATAAAATACTTTAATACACCTTTTTAAATTAATGGCTGAGCTTGCCAGAAATGAAATATGTTGCCTATGGCCAGGAACAAATTGAGAGCCTGACTCAAGGGAGGCGAATAGCATTAAAAGCAGCAGATCGTTTCTGGGGACATCTGTTAATTCCTGATAGTTGGAGCTTTGGTTTCCTAGGCCTCCTGCCAGGCACACAAGGCAATGTCTTTTGTCTGCCAGAATGGGTTGTAGGCTCCTCGCCCCACATAAAGCTAGGTACTGCAAGGGGCATCACCCTTGAAGAACAGGTGAACTGGGGGAAAAAACCTCTCACGTAAAGCAGACAGACATGTTGTTATGAAATATTTCTTTCAAATTGATGTTGACTGCAAACTGTACTCAGAGCTGGACAGTACATATTAACAAGCTTCTTTCACTTACCAATAGTTTATAATGTTAGCTAAGCAGAATGGGTTCATTCTTGCTATCCAGACCCAGAAAGGTCACCTTCAAAGAGAAAAGTCCTTCTCCATCATGAATTAGAATTGAGCCCCAACTTCCTGCAGTCCCTTGCACATGTTCTTTTTTCCACCTTTGCCAATGTAGTTTTCTCCACTTAAATGCCCTTCTCCCTCCCCATGTTCTCCATGTTCTCATCCCAAATTATGGAAGTTCTGGGCATCCTTGAAGACCAAGCCCAAAGGCCACCACCTCCATAAAGCTTTCCCAGATCCACCCAGCTCAGAGGGATTGCTCTTTCCTCTGTAGTCACTGAACATTTAGTCTCTCCCTCAGCTCTAACCCATCATATTCCCACTTGAATTATGGTCATCGCAGCGTACATTTGGGCTCCCACGAGGTTAAACTGCTGAAGGACAATAGCTGGACCTTGTCCATCTTTGCATCACTCAGCACCCAGAAAAGAATCTGCTTAATTAAAGCCTGATGCATTAAATTGAAGAGAATTGAACTGGAACACTTGAGGTCTATTTTATTCTGAAAACACAGTTCCACCTGCTATTATTTGTTAGAAACTGGGAGGTTTCTGTGCATTTATAGACATCAGTTGGAGGAGTCAGAAGTGATTCAGATGAGCGTGGTCTTATAAGCTCTCTCCTTTTGTGGAACTTAGGCGGGACAGTGCTCAACTGTGTTTTAGTTCCATCATTTTCACAACTGCTCATTCTCAGTATTCCCTCGCAGACTCATGCTGGTATTGGTCAGTTTCTTTGGCAGGATAAAGAATTTTTATTGTGTCCCTACTGTCTTGTCTTCTTTCCATCTCCCACCCCCTAAAAAGGGAGCCCAAAGAGGTAGTTGGGGAACAATAATAATAATACTAATAATTGTCAATACTTCCATGGTATTTTTTCTAAGCCAGGCACAGTTTCTGAGTGCTTTACTCATGAATCCTCTCGATGGAGTTGGCACTATTGATACCCCTACTTTATAGTTCATGATATCAAAGCAGCTTAACCAAAGTCACATAGCTGGCAAGTAGAGCCAGGACTCTAGCCTTAAAGTTAGAGATGGGGTTTGAATCTCAGCTTGTTACTTATTAATTCTGAGACCCTCCACAAGTTAGTTAATGCTGAGTCTTGATTTCCTCATCTGTAAAATGGGGATAATAATCTCTTCTTTGAGATGTATAGAGTTTAAATGAGATAACCCATCTGAAAGTGCCTGTGTCTGATAGATGACTAATGGTAGCTATTTTTAAAAAAGGATAAAATAGCACAGTAATAATAACATTGTAGCAACTATAGCAAAGCCCAGGAGAATGTTTTCATGTAGAAAAGTGCCTCCCAAGTCCATTCTTTTATGTCATATAGTGAAGGTACTTTGATTCCAATGTGAAAAATTCTCTAGCAGGAGTTCATGTATTTGACACGTAACACTTAGAGACTGAGTGTTCTTTCCATCAAATGAGGCCCTTCCAGCATATGGTAATTTTGCTGATCAGATTACTGTACATTGGGGTGTAATAAAAGATAGAACAGGCTGATGCAGATTGGAAAAGAAAATGTAAAGATCACACTGAAGCCATCCCTAATAGGCTGATATATTTTAATCATTCTGTATTAACTTGCTGCATCTTAAAATATATATTTTTTTCAAATCAAGTCACAGCTGTGTGTACTTTAAGCTGTGGCCGTCATAAACAAATATGAAAAGAAGCAGAGTTAAAACAGATGAATAGCAATGATATCCATTAGGCTGATATAACTAAACACAAATGACCATTAGGAGACTTGCAAAAAAGTCAGAGAAACAGAATTTCAGATATGAGCTCTTATATAACTGATGACAGCTTTGCTTGTGCCTGTTGTCTAGTTTGATTAAGGATATAAAGTATTTGGGAAGCCAATCCTCCAAGTGACTTTGTTGATAAGTAAAGATAGAGGAAGATTCCAGGGTACAGAGAGCTAGATTTCTTTGAAAAATATATTTAATGATCGTGAAGTGAGTCTCCTCCTTTTCTACGGTAGAAGTGGAGGTGTTACCATGGAAACTCACCCCTCATTACCATCACCACTGACTGGTTTCAGTCTTTTGTCAAGGAAAGGATTACCATCTTTACTGTCTCCTCCCATCCCTACTCTCTCCTCTTCCATTTCCTCCTTCCTCTCTAAACATCTGGAGTTCTCCCTATGCTTGGTTCTAAAAACCAATTTAGTATCTTAAATCATCAATTCCATAAATGGAAAATTTGGTAAAATGCATTAACCTGATATGAAGGATGCCATATCTCACCACTTGGTATTAGAGTGACAGGAGAAGTACGCCTGTGGAATGCGACTGCTCTCACACTCTGCGACATCGCGCAGGGTAAGTGCACGAGACCTCCACAGCGGAGGCAGTGTGGAGTTGTCCATTCTTTAACACTCAGCTCACTTGCTGCTTCATTTTCTGATTATCACAATTATTTGCTTAGATCGGAAAAAGCTGAGCTAGTGATTCGACTGTGGACACAGATCAAGAAGTAAAAGCCAGCTAGGTTGTGGGGAGAGCCAGGCCTTGAGAAGTCTTCCTGTTGGTCACCTAGAACTGGGAGATCTGTCCAGATTAACTGTGGAGCTTTTCCAGAACAGCATGAACTTCCTCTGGATGATAGTTCCAAGGGCCAGGTTTACCCTGCAAAAGAAACGAATCAGCATTCCCAGATTTCTGACTTGCAGGAGACCTGGCCTAGTGATATCTCTGTGGGAGTGATCAGGGTGGTATAATCAGTGGTAGATGCAACCATGAGGTAGGTGAGATCACCCAGGGACAGTGTATGGGATGGCACCAACATTTAGTGGGAAGACTGGACAGAGAAGTAGGAAAACCAGAGGGGGTAAAGTTAAGAGAGTTCAAAAAGAGAAAGGGGTCTATACAAATAAGCTTTCTTTCCATAATCAGAACTTCAAACTGGCCTTATCTTCGCCCCTCACATCAAGTACTTTCCATTCCACATCAGAAGCACCTCTGCCTCTCTGTTGACACTGCCCTAGTTCAGCTATCTTCATCTCCTACTTGGGCAGCTACTACGCCTCCCGACAATCCCCAGTCCTCTGCTCCCTTGCTCCCTCCAGTCCATTCTTCACCCAGTAGCCAGTGATCTTTCCAAAATAAGGATCTGATCGTGCATCTACCCTGCTCAAAACTCTACAACGGCTCTCCTTTGCCCAAAGATGAAGGCCAGATCCTTGTAGCCCAATGCCCGCAATTGTCCATTCACGCCCTGCCCTCACTTGCCTCAGTGCCTTTGCCCACCCTCTTCCCAATATTTGCGATAATTTTCACTCACCATGCAAGCAATTGTCACTTCCTCTGAAAGGCCTACCTTCCTCCAGGGGTTGGAAAACTAACAGTCTGAAAGCTAAATCTGTTCTGATGCCTCCACACCATTTTGTTTACCTATTTTTTTTAGGGGGGGTGGTCCACAAATTCGAAAATATTTACTTCCGGGCCCTTTACAGGAAAGGTTTTCTGACCCCTGCTTTGAAGTCTCATAGCACTTGGGTCCTAGGCTGTGAAGTAAAATTTGGACCATTGTTAATTCATTTTTTGGGTTTCTAGTACTTGCACAGGGCCTAACCCAGGGTAGGGACTCAGTGCCCAGTTTGCCTCACTCATGCCATCTGGTCATCTTAGAGCCATTTCTCAGAGGAAGGGAAAAGAAGGACCTGAATCCTTGTACTGTGACCCTTGGCACCCTGGGGATTCATCTGCATGTTGTTGCTTATTTCCCCCGCATACATAGGGCTAGCTTGATGTCTGGGCAAAGGAGCATCCACATAAATGGGCATCGTGTACTCTCCAAGACTGGAAATCCCTTCATCATCTATAAAACTTAGTTTCTGCCTTCTTGGGGAGCCAATAGTGTCAAAGGGGTCAGAGGTTGTGATTATGTCCCTCGTGCTGGCCAGGCTGGAAGCCATGAGAGGAAGGCTGGACTCAATTCCTGCCTTGAATTCCTGTTTCGGCATTTCCAGCTCTGAACTGCAAGGTTTGTTCTCTTCTGGCCTCCTGCAACCCCTCCAGGTTCAGGCCTGCTTCAGACATTAGCTGCTTTAGACCCTCCCACTCCTGATTCATTCCATCCAGAGGATTTAGAATCGAAATCAGAACCTTGTTCAGTGTGACCTTGGGCAAGTCAATTGCCCTCTCTGAGCATTATTTGTAAAATAGGAACAACATTCTTCAATGCTCAGCTTTAAACTAAACCAGGGCTGGGGCAGTCTTCTGGGTTCAGAAAGCAGCCAGGAGGCTGCAGCTCCAGTCTAAATGTTAGGGACTTTTCCTGTACATTATTTCGTCCCCTATGACATGGGGGTCAACATCTCCATTTTGCAGAAGAAGAAACTGAAGCTCCAAGAGAGGAAGACTTGCTCATGGTCATATGGCTGGTAAATGGCTGGGCAGTGATTTGAATCCAGATCAGCCTGATACAAAGCCCTCTCTTTGCCCTTTGCCCTCTCTGGAACCCTGGCCCCTAGGGAGGCTGGTTACCACCTTGTAGAGGATCCTGCCCTCCTGGAGCACATAGAGCCTCTCAGGCAGTGCCGCGTAGAGGTGGCTGCTCTGGTTCTTCATTGTGTCCACCACCACAGGGCACTGGGGGCTTCTGTCCAGCAGCATACGGGCTGCCTGCAGGCGTTCCTGGAGGTTCCGGTGGTTCCTGATTTTCACGTTGTTCTTAAAAGCCCAGCCATCTGCAAGAGGAAGGCCAGGCACTGGACTTTGAAACCATGGCATATACTTCCTACAGACTAAATACCACCTCCCCCTCCTTTTAACTGTAGGCCCCAGATAGAGGAGCCCTTGGTCATAATTTGGCCCAGTTTCCTACTATGGGTAAATGCATGAGATTACGTAGGAATTAGTGGTTAATCCAGAACTGAAGCCTGCAGCTCCTGACTCCTAGACCTTGGCTCGTCAGTGTAAGACAGACCAAAAAACCAGTGCTCCTCAAACTGTAATGGGCAAATGAATCACTCAGGGGCCTCGTTAAAGGAAGATTCTGATTTAGTCTGTCTAGGGTGGCACTGAGTCTAGCTAGTTCTCAGGATGCCAAGGCTGCTGGTGCCTGGACCACACTTAGGCAAGGGTCTCGAGAAATAGTTCTTTTAAGTGTGTGCTGCCCAGACCAGCAGTGTCAGCATCACCTGAGAGTTTGTTAATAATGCAAATTCTCAGGCCCCACCCTAGACTGACCAGGAATGGGGCCCACCAATCTATTTGAACAGCCTTCTAGATGATTCTAACACATGCCAACATTTAAGAACTTCTGCTCGAGTCTAAACAATTTCCCTCTTCTAATTATTTTCCACCAGAGTGTTCTTTCCAAAATGCAAATTTGACCATGTCACTCTCCTGTTTAGATATTTCAATGGCTCCCTATTATCCTCAGGATAAATCCCAAACTCCTCAGTGTGGCCTACCAGGTCCTTAGTGAACTGGCCCATCTCTCCAGGCTTCCTCCAGATTTTTGCTCCAGATAGGTGGGTGTAATACTTGAGGTTCTTTGACCCACTCACCCTCAAGCTGTCTCTCACTTCTGCCCTTTTCATCACAGCTCCTGCCTCTAGCTGCAGTGTGAATAGAGCAGGACCTTCTCTTTCCTTGTTTGGATACTATGACTTCCACTGCTGCAGCTGACGTATTAGCTGTACTGGCAGCCTCATGATCAGGCACTCAGAGTGAACTTAGAGCTGAGTACAACTGCTAGCCTGGCAATCACTCTTATGTTCATCCTCTCCTAAGTAGTCCTCCTGCCACCTAATCTTACTGCTGTCTAACTCATCATCCAGAAATCTCTGAGAATGATTCCTAACGTAAAATTTGATGATATTTTTTCTCTGCTTAAAAACCACAGGACCAGCTTCTTAGCACAGCATTTAATGATACCTGTCATCTCTCCTGACCTACCTTTCCAGTCACGGCTGCCAGTCTTTCCACATTAGCCAAAGTGGACTCCTCCTCAAAAGACTCTGATACCTCTCTGCTCCTTCTCATCATCTCTTCCACGTATGAAATCCAACCTGTCCTTTTAAGGCTCAACTCTAATGCAAGGCTTCTTAATGTTAGTACTATTGACATTTCGGGCCAGATAATTCTTTGTTGTGGTGAGCTATCCTGTGTGTTGTAGGATGTTGAGCTGCATCTCTAGCCTGTACTCACTATATGTCAGAAGCATCCCCTCCTTCAGTTTGTGACAACTAAAAATGTTTCCAGACATTGCTAAACATCCCCTGGAGCGGCAGTCCCCAACCTTTTGGCACCAAGGACCAGTGCTCCTATGAGAATCTAATGCCTGATGATATGAGGTGGAGAGGAGGCAGTGATGCTAGGGAAGGGGCTGCAAATACAGGTGAAGCTTCACTTGCTCGCCCACTGCTCACCTCCTGCTGCGTGGCCTAGTTTCGAACAGACCACGGACTGTACTAGTCCGCGGCCTGGCAGTTGGGGACCCCTGCCCTGGAGGACAAAATCACCCTCAGTTGAAAACCACTGCTCTAAGACCATTTCTTCCAGGAAGCCTTCCCCGACCCACTCAGCTGTGCGATATTGGGCAAGCACTTCATATCTCTTTAAATCCTCAGTTTACCCATCTGTTAAATGGGGTTAATAGAACCTATATTGCTGAGGCTTAAATGAGTCAACTTGGAATTCTCTGTGCTCTGCTTGGTTAATAGAAGCTGCTAAAAAAATATTGGTTTATTTTGCCTGACTTCTCTAAAATAATAGACAGATGGGAAAGAACCCAGTTTTTATTCTACACCACAGGTTTTTTTTTTCCTACTTTGCTCTAGAGATCCCCACCACCCCCACCACCTCTATGCCAAAAACTAAAAACAAAACAAAAACAAAAAAAAACAAAAAAACTCTGTTCAAGGCTGCTTAACTTTAAATGGAAGGGGATTTTCCACTGGCCCCATTTGCCAAGGTGCCCTTCTGCCTACTTACAGGAGGTGGCACTCATTAGCTAATGGGCCAACAGGTTGAAAAAAATAACCATAAAAACCACAAGACCCCCAAAGGAGCCTAAATCTCAGGCCCATTTGTAGCCCTACTGGCTTTGCCCTTCTACTTGCCCTATTTCTGGGGAGCCTGGAACCCAGATAATGTGGTCACGGGTTCCTTTGGAAGGTAAGTGGCCTGTGTTTATTGCCTCCCATGGTAACATAAGTTGCTTAAGTCCATCAGCAGAATTGGCTCCACATCCACAGTACTTCAGAGTCCTCTGCTCAGTAGTTGCTCTTCCCCCAAGAAAAAACACTTAAGTATTTATTACCTGCCAGAAGACTTCAAAACTTTGTAAATGACAGTAACATCAGCTTATATTTATATCGTGGTTAGGCAGTCAGTCTTGTCCATCCACTAACTTGCTGGAGCTTCACAGCAGCCTCCTATTGGAGGCTGGGCAGAGGCTCTCATCCCCATCCTACAGCTGAGAATATGGAGGCCCAGAGAGGAGTTGCGTCCCAACATCAACTGTGAGTTCCTTAGAAGCAGGAACTATGTGTATCTTTCATCTCTATATCACCAGGCACAGCATAGGACTAGACACATAGCAGGTACTCATTAAATATTGCAGAATGAGCAATTCTGTGAGGTCAGTGTTGTCATCCCATTTTAGTGGCGCAGAAGTAGGTATGGAAGGTAAGTTGCCCCAGGTTGTGTGGCCAGCATGTGATGGAGCTGGGACTCACACTCAGGTCTGAAACTCCAGAGTCTGTTCCTCCCACCACAACTCATGGTTCCCCGTAAATTATCTCAGCAAACGTGGTGTGTGAGAAGAAGGAAGCCAACTGATTTGGGCCATAGATTTTAGACCTCCTTGGATTGGTAGACACTGGCTCTGTGCACTTTAATTCTGGGATTCAGGCCATACCCACTTTTGTCTGATTGACAGAAATGAGTACCCTGGGGAAGGAGGTGGAGAGGAGAAGGAAATGCCTGAACTAGGAGTGGCAAAGCACGGAGGCAAGAAATTAGTCTGTCAGGACAGACAGGAAGCCTTTCCTCAGTGGATGAGGTGGATAGCCCTGGGTTGTGGAAAGGATTAAACCTGCTGATTCCAGGAGAAATGGGTCAGGACCAGAAACAATTTCTATGATAATCTGATCCCTCTTGTCACAGTTTATAACTTATTCTTTTGGAGATTAAAGCTGGATCTTCTAGGACCTTGTTGCTCCAAGTGTGGTCCCTGAATCAGCAGTCTCAGCATCACCTGGGGAGCTGGTTAGACATGCAGAATCTCAGGCCCCTTTGCAGCCCTACTGAGCCATAATCTGCATCTTAGTAAGATCCCAAGGTGACTTGAGCACACAGTAAAATTTGAGAAATGCTGTTCCAGGACAGTTCAACGAGCTTTGGCCGAGCTTCAGTTGTCAGCTCTAATGACATCAAGGTATCATCTCTTCTTAGCCATGGAGACCACAGACACTTGTAGATACCCAAGTTATCTCTTTAACTGATGGCTCTGCCCTCCCAAAGGAGTATTTGACGAAGAAGTACATCATGCTTGCCTTTGCTCTCCTGTTACCTATGCTGTTTAAATGTTATTATGGAAATTTTTAAATATACATAAAAGGAGAGAGAACAGTATAATGAACCTCTGTGTACCTTTACCCCATGCTAATATTTTAAGTTGCCCCAAATTCTTAATGAGGCCAGAAGGTGCCAATTAAATCAATACAGTATTAATTGAAAGCAGTTCTCAAACCTTTGGGTGCATATAAATCAAAATGGAATGGCCTGGTGTGGGGCCCTGGAAGATGCATTTTCAACAAGCAGCCTAGGTGGCTCTGACATCAGGGGTCCAGGGACCATACTGCAGAAAGTTTGCTGGCCAACTTTGCTGATAATTATTTAATAGCAATCTCTACACTTACAACATGAGGATAAGCCAGCAAAGCTATAAAATATTGGCCTAAACCACTTATTCACCCAACTTTTACTGAGCTCTGAGTCTGTGACATGGACTCTGCCAGGCGCTAGGTGACAAAGATGAGTCTTGTAGGGACATGGGTGAGTAAACAACACTCATTCTACTTGGCCACCCGAACTTCTTGCCTTCTTCAATCTCTGGGATTGAGAGTTGAACCAAATTCATGGATTCGATCCTCATGAAAACTGAGTATATAGAAGTATATCAGACTATTTGTAAAGTTCATGGGGCTTAGACCAAGCTGAGAAGTTTTAGGGAGAGATATGTCTGCCCATTGCAAGAAAGGGCTTTCTCATTAACAGAACTGTCCAGCAAAGGAACAGCGAAGGAAACAAGATTTCCCATGAAGTAATAAAGATGGGTGACCACCTGTTAGGGGCTAAAGAAGGATTCCTGCCCCAGATAAATGCTGGCCTGGAGAAGTGGTTCTCCAAGTGTGGTCCCCAGACCAGCAACTTCAGCATCACCCAGAGCTTGTTAAAAATGCAAAGTCTCAGGCTCCACTCCAGATCTCTAGG